TCTCCGCCAGAGAGCCGCTCGACTACTCATTACGGAATTCATGGAGTGCATTTCTCACTTCATGGACGAGGTTAGTCGCTCTACGAATGTCATCAGGATGACAAGACCTCTTTCCTTGTTTAATCGTAGCCCTTTTTTCACAAATTTTCCGACGGATATCAGTAGGGAGAAAAGGTCTGCCGTGTCGCTGCACTGGAAGCAGAGCAGCATGCTGTAGAGTTTGGTGAACGAAACTTGTCCACTCCGATTGAGCAGCATCTATTCCGTTCTCATCATGTATGGCCGGGACACTGGGAAACTCTTTGAGAAATGACTTGTATAGTTCCCAATCAACTGCTCTCCTTGAAGGAGTTTCCTCCTCCACGAAATGCCCATTACCTATCTCCAGAACAACATTTACAGGGTCACTAGAGATGTCATACAAAATCTTAGAAGCAATGCTGAACCTACAGTTTTTAGATATTGCAAAGTCTATAGCATCCGGTGCCTGAAGGTGATTGAAAGGATGGTGTGCCGGTTCTTCGGTGCTGTGAGTAAGATACTCTGTGATAGTCAATCACGTTTAACGAGCAAAGCCAAGCCACCACCCCTACCATTCAATCGGTCAGCGCGTATAACATCAGAATTCAAGAAAGCTAAGCGATCTCCCGGATTAAGTAATGTTTCCTGCAGCAGAGCTACGTCTATACCCTCATCCAATAGAGTTTGATGAAATTCCCGTTTTTTGGGAATATCTCTTAGGCCCAGAAAATTCCAAAAAAGAATTTTGATAAATGCAGGTTGTCTATTGGACTTAGCCATTCAATGGCTGCGGAAAGATCGCTTGCAATGTCTGAGTGGCGTCAATCAGGGGACTTATTATTTGGTGAAGGGACCTAAGCACATTCTGCGTGTTTAAAGTGGGTTGAACAGAGGGGACAGGCGAAGATGTTGAGACGGCTGCTTAGAATTAAAATTTGGATTATTCATTACCTGAGTTACCTGGATAGTCAGGCAGTCTATTTTACTGTTTTGGTCTCTGTTTCAGTCAGTTCCTTTATTTGCTGGGCCTGGCTTTCGTTGATTAGGGTCAGGCGCTGGATGATTCTGTCCTTTTCGTCTGCTACAGCTGGTGTCATTAATTCCTTTGATTTAACGGTAGTTTCTGTTCTCTCATTCTGGCCGGGTCCATTCATCATCAGGGACTCTGGGGGATCATTACTTTGACCTCCAGAGTCTATCTTCATGTTGTTAAATCGGATTTGCTGTTCAAAAACTTTTTTTTGAAACAAATCTTTATTCAATATTCAATTTTTACAAATTTTATAGGAAACAAAGTTCTCTAATCTGTGTTTAACACACTGGCCTCGAGAACAACAATACTTAATGTGCGAATTTTAGCTACAATAAATTCAACAATTCAAGTGTCTTTTGAGTGTCTTTACATAATTTCTGAATACATGTACTTTTTTACATTACTTGGTAGGTTGTTATACGTTTTTACTGCATCAGTGACAGGGTTATTTAATCCTATATTGGTTCTATACTACAACTATTTAAATGTATGTAATGACTCATACGCGTGATCAACACGTGATCAGAGCTCGATCCCGGCTTCCTTCCAGTACAGCCGTATAGCACACGACATATGTCGTTTCTGTGGCTTTGCGGTGGTTAACAGCACAGACAGAGATGGAAATAATGGCTGATTGTTCTCCGCCGGTAGAACCAATGAAATCAAAGACGCGCCTCGACCGGCAGACTCATAGGCGTCGGCAACGCATTGGAACGTGTTTCGTTGAGCGATCGCATATTGTGTGTTTTTATAAGAATTGTTGTGTGATTGTTATTGTTGTGGTTTCTGTGGTTACTGTTTTGGTTATACTTAACCATGGAGAGTAAAAATGGCACGAGTGGAAGTACTGAAAGCCAGGGAACAGGTAGACGGCTTCGTAAAGCACTGAAGAGGGACGCGAAGGAAATCGTGCTCAACGTGTTCAATTATCTGAACAGAACTATGTCGCAGGGAGATGCACTCGCGCGTTGTGAAAGTATGACAGGCGTTCCAGAGTGGACCATTCGTAGGGTGGTGCATGAAAAGAAGAAAACTGGAGCTACTACTGATCCAAAGTTTAATTTGAAGGGACGAAAGGCCGTTAAATTGGATGACGATAGCAAAATGGCGTTAAGGCGAACCGTACATTCATTCTTCTTTAGGAATGAGATACCAACCCTCAAGGCTGTACATGCAGCGATCAAGGAAAATGAAATTATACCCCAGCGTCGAGGTAATGAGGAAATCCCTGCACGAAATTAATTTTCGTTACGAAACGCGTCATCGGAAGTCAGTATTGATAGAGAGACCTGAAATAGTCGCCTGGCGTCGAAAATACCTACGCGAAATGATTGAATATAGGCGACAAAGCAGAAAAATCTATTATTTGGACGAGACATGGGTAAATGCAGGTCACACAGTTAAAAAAACCTGGATAGACAAACACGTAGTGAGTAATCGACAAGCAAGCATTGAAGGTTTGTCAAAAGGTCTTCGTGGACCGTCAGGGAAAGGTCAAAGATTGATCGTAACTCATATTGGTAGCGATAGTGGCTTTTTAGAAGAGTGTGACTTGATTTTCGCCTCTAAGAAAGGAGGTGATTACCATGACGAAATGAATGCCAGTTGCTTCGAGAGCTGGTTTCAAGGGGTGCTTCAGCGAGTTGAGCCCAACTCTGTGATCGTCATGGATAATGCTTCCTACCATAGTCGTCGAGCCGAACGTGTACCGACTATGGGATCTCGAAAAAGTGACATGCAGCAATGGTTGCGCGAAAAAGGAATCCCGTTTGACGATTCATGTGTGAAAGCGGAATTGTATGAAAAAATTAAACAGCACAAACCTGCGAACATTAGTTACGTGACTGACGAGATGGCCCGTCAATGTAGTGTCACTGTGCTGCGGTTACCGCCCTACCACTGTGAACTGAACCCAATACAGCTCATCTGGGCTCAAGTGAAGGGTTATATTGCGCGCCATAACACAACCTTCAAATTACCAGACGTTAAGGTTTTACTTGAGACTTCCATACAGCTAGTAACGCCCGAAGCTTGGCAGAATGCTATCCGTCATGTTGTGAAGGAAGAAACAAAAATGAGGCAGCTTGACCACCACATCGACACCATCATAGAGCCAGTTATAGTCAATTTCAACGAGGAAAGCGATAGCGACAGTTTATTACTGTCAGATGTAAGTGGAAGCGACGATGAATAAAGGTAATTCCCAAATTTTTGACTTACAATATGTTTCAAACCACTCTTTATTAAGCATGTGACAAATCTAGTTCACCCATGTTAAACATTCATACCCCGCCTATGAACAGCCGACTACTGGTAGTTAAGTGATGTTCACGTGAACATCGATGAGTCATTACAGTTTTAGATAGTTATAGTATAGTAGGAATGTGGTACAAATTATTATGTGATCTTGTCTCATGGTCATGCACATCATGTGTGATCAAAATGTTTGTATTACACTTTTGTTGGTTGTTTAAAATTTTGAAGACCATTTTTCATTGTTCTAATTCCAACAGCTTATCTAGTTTACAAACATTCAATTCTGAGTACATATTGTCCGTGTTGGCAAGTCGATCATAGTTGAACAACATTCTTAATATTCTATTTTGCAAAACTTGTGATTTATGAAATTCAGTTTTACAACACATTCCCGTAACATATATCTAAAGTGTGCTAAGAAAAATGCATTATAAATGTTTATTTTACTTTTTGTAGTTAAGTAGTCTCTGCTTCGGTACAAAGCAGCTATCATCGATGTTGTTTTATCCAAAAAAATGTTTAATGTGACTAGACCAATTCAAGTTCTCATCGATAATTAAACCCAGGTATTTGGTGCTCGATACTTTTTCTATTATAACATTATTTATTCGTATACAAGGGTTTCGAATATTTTATTTTTCTGTTTAAAAATTCGATATTTTGTTTCATCAATGTTGACCTTTAGTTTATTCGAATATAGCCATTTACAGTAAAGAGCAAGATCTAAATTAACTTTGTCACGCAGAGCCTGCTCATGATTTCTTTTATAGAGAAGAACTGTGTCGTCAGCAAAAGTTAAATACCTTGCATTAAGATTGGCACTATTTAGATTTAGAACATATAAAGAATATAATAGTGGACCCTGGGGTACACCACAGTCACTAGATAACCACTCACTAGTTGTTTCACATATTGTTTTCTGTTAAGTAAATAAGTTTTAATCAAATTATTCATAGTACCCCTAAATCCCATATTTTGTAACTTATTCAATAATATATTAATATCTACCACATCAAGCGCCTTTCTGAAGTCTATAAACAATGCTATAACCACTAGTTTTTCATCCAAAGCCCTTGAGAGGTAATTTACAAAATCAACTGCAACTGCAAGCGTACTACTGTTTTTTATAAACCCATACTGGTAACTGTCTGCTAATGTGTTTTCCTCTATAAATGACATCATTCTTTTCTTGATAATTTTTTCGACAATTTTAGATAAAATACTGATCTCAGATATTGGCCTATAGTTATTCATAGAGTGTTTATCACCTGATTTATAAAGTTTAGTAATTTTACTTATTTTAAGTTCATCTGGAAATTTTCCAACTTAAACACTTTCACGAACAAAAACATGACGTATTGTCAATTAAAATTAGAGTTGCTAGATGTTTGATACTTAGGGCAGGGAAGAAACTAGCGTTAGCGTTACCAGCTAGATGGGGACTATGTATAATAATATAATTGTATATGGGCCTGATTGACAGATTTAAATTTTTTGTTATACATGTTTGAAGCTAGCTCAAATGGACTAACTTGATGATCCTTTATGAACTGATGACAGCGTCGCGTGGGAAGTGCAGAGTGAACCTACTTGACGCCATTTTTATGTATACGTCTGCTGGGTTTGTATTTGTTAACATAATATGAATATTTAGTGGCACATGTTTTTTGGGCTTTAATAGTGTTAATAACTATGCCATTACCCAGGCATAACTGTTTTTCGTCTGCTCAAATAACTGAAACCTAAATTATATTTATTTACCATTTTCATTCTGCTCATAAACTAATTCTATAAATAGTGTCTATCACCAGAACAAATATTGTTATTATGATTGCATATTTCTAGAAAATAGCCAAAACATTACAGTCATCGCGTAATGGAAAATATTCCAAATAGGGCAAAATTCAATTTGTTACTTTATAGACTACCATACGCTTTTAAGAGCAGGCACTCGTATTGGGATCTCGGGACTGGAAAAAGATGCTAGGTCGGTAAATGTGGCCCAAGTTATGCAGTTAGGTAATTAAGAAAATGGTTCTTGGAAATTAGTTTCGAAATTCAGTGCATTTTCGGAGATACACGAAAAAAAACGAACTTTCACAAAATCGCCTTCGTTTTTCCCTGACTTAGTTTGTCATGGAAATAAAAAATAAAATTGTTTCCTTTACAAGATGAGATAGATCTTCAGTCCTACGTTTCGTCTCTTGCCCGCCACTGTTACCATTACTTTTTCCTCTTGAATAATATAATATGCCTTATGCTATATTATAAAAATTACAAGACTATAATCGTTAAAAAAAATATTTCCTTCAACGGCTGAACAGATTTTCTTATACCATGACTAATGACAGTCTTGATAATGATGCTTTTCGAAGAGTAATCGAAATCATTTGTTTCCTCAAGTTTCCTCATACGGACGACACACGCACGCGCATTTTGGTGGTTGTAAGGTAGAATAATCACTCAGTACGTATTTATTAAAATATGTTTTGTGAGACATGTCAAAATTCTGCATTAGTTACTTACAATCATACATTATTTGCGTGACATAGATGTAGCTGCCAGAGTTATTCGAAAATTAATTTCAAAACTTTTCGAAATCGGTCCACAGGCGGAGGAGAAAGTGCCAAAAACAAAAAATAAAAATCGCTCAAACTTTATCTTTTTCCTGATAATTTTTGAAGAGTAAAAATTGGGTAGTGGGCGTTTTTAGGAGAGTGGTCGAAGGTGTAGCACAATTATTTGATATTAGTATATAGGTGCACTTCCAACCCTGGTTATTCTACGCACCTATTAGACATATTTCTCACACATCATAGATTTGCTCTTCGAACTTAGCAACGGAAACAGATGTATTACATAACAAACATACATTTTTGCCTTTAACTTCTGTGAAGAAATATTGTTCTTTCCATTCCGAATGGAAATGGTATGTCTTCATCTTCTTACTACTGCTCATAATGTTTTTAATTGCAGACCAACTCTAACCCAACCGCTGGACTTTGTGCCGTTCAGTTTTAAGCTGAGCGCGTATTTATTCCGTTCAAAGTAATCGAGATCGTTCTCGAACAGATCACTCACCGCAGTGTTGCCGTTGCTTGTATTTATTATGAGAATTTACAAAATTTACGGAAGCTTCTATGATCTTTATACCTTTTTAAAACATGTGAGCCGCCAGGCTGGTTTGCAGAGAGAAATAGTGAAGTCTTGAATTGGTCATCTTGTTATCCAGACCAGAAAGCTATCCAAAACCTCTGGGAAATATCATATCGAAAATAAATTGTATGACGATAATATGCCTCCATAAATAGCGTGAAACGTGTATTAGGTGACGTTTGGGGCACTTTTGGAGTTAACTAAAAAGTCTCCATTATTAAGATGGAATTGTTTGTTTATTTTTGCTAAAAATGCAGTTGTGCTGTAGTTTTTCACCACTCTCTTTTACTTGCTTTTCATTGATCAACACCAAATCACCTAATTCATTGGTAATTTGGATAATCTCCATCGTTATAAATTTTCTTTTATCACCTCTGTAAGTTATATAAACTTACATTTTAATCAACTACAAAAAACAAAAATTGGTGGTGGAGGGGCCGTAGTTATGCTCTCCACTTTAGCGTCCCTCTTTTAAAATATTTCCCTGGACACGACAATGATAATATTGAAATTCAAATTGATCGTATGCTCCGAATTGTTATTAAATTCATGCAAATGGATAATTCGAGCGGCGTCGATGAGACGTGATGTAAATCAAAATGGATTTTGTTTAATCAGTGAGCCGGATGGTTTGTAACAGAATGGTGCAAAAAAAATCAGGAAACGCCCACGTCAAAAATACCGCCCTGGCGTAACGGAACTCCAAACTGTCCGATTCGGTGGCATAATTTTGGGTAATATCGAAAGCTGATGTGTTGAGGTGCTGTTACGAAAATCACAAAGGTAATTCTCGTTTCCAACCCATTGTTGTAAAATATTGAATGTTCAGAAATATTTTATTTTTTACTATTATTTCTCGTCTAGGATCCCGTCTACCACAAAATTGTAGTTACATACATTTTTCACGGACGATACAGGCCATCCTAGCTTTTACGCCCGTATGTCGGAAGAAATAGTTATTTATTCTACAAAGGAAAAAAGTACTAGATTTTAGCTTGCGGTTGTATTCTCGAAAGAACCGAAAGCTAAAATCTAGTATTTTCCCGTATATAAAACACATTTTTTTTCTGTGATGCGAAAAACGACGATTTATTATTGATAAATTATATTATTATAATATGTAAGTCAGAAAATTATTGATGTGAAATTTGAATTTTGAAATTAGTAGGCTATGTTGTACTTATAGCGACAATTAGACCTGCGTTGCTAAGGAAACTTTTAAAATAATCAAATAGCTGTCAATTTAATTTTGTGATTTTATTCAAAAATTGTGAACATAGTGGTTGTTTAGAAGTTATTTTTAATACTATAAAGTAAAAAATGTATGATTCCGAGTTTTCTTTGACTCCACCGGAATCAGTAGAAGTAGGTAGCCAAAATATTCTAGAATTAAATATCTACATTTGCTTATGTGTTTATACAGTATCCGGGAAAAAGTACTCATTTTTTCCCGGGGAAAAAAGTAATTTCATAAAAAGTGACCTTGTTACCTTCCAACAGAGATAAAATGTCAAATTCTTTTCCCGTCACAGAAAAAACATATTTTATATTCGCTGGGTGTGCGATAACGGCGCCGCCTAACGGATGTCGGACACAAATATTTGTGTTAAAAATAATGACAGCTAAATTTTTGCAGCATTTTCAAGCTTTAGTTTAACCCACATGATACATTATAGCAATCACCGTGGAGATCCCTCTCATATTTCGTCATCAGGCCGTACATTGAATTAAAACTTATTCAAATACTTTGTAGTTCCTGCAGAAAGAAACTACCAATAGGATTTTGATTCTTATTCCAAATAGCGAAAGGACTGCAGCCTATACACGAGCGTCCTTTCCTGTCAATCTTGTCATTATTTTCTGTTACTAAAGCTCGTACGAATACGAATCTGAAAAGAGGCAAATAACTTCTGCTCAAAGTTCATAAACATGTTACTGGTTGGCAATCGATTTCAATGTTACATGTGCTTACATTTATAATTCTTCTGTATCATCCCTTAACTATTGCTATTTGATCTTTGGACATCCAATGCCCTCTTGCAGTATTGGACGTTATCATTATAACTTCCAAACGCGGGCGCTCGTGACGGCCAGTTTTCCGATACCTTCGCCTCTTCTGCTGTTGAATTAACTATTGAGCGCTCACACAATAAACACCTTCTATCCCATAGACACACATCAATGCACAATCAACAAACTATAACCTCTCTCTCGTCGCATAGTATTTTTTCATCCAAGTAAGTAACACTATTATGCTCTTAACTCCTTACACCAGTATTGCCTGATACGATTTTATCTTTTTACACATACTAAACAGCTATAAAATCATGGCATGTCTATTTTTGAAGATACCAGTTGTCTCGGCATTTTTGACACGTCCGACTCTCCACAATTACGTAGAATGCTCTTGACATTAGATAGTTTCTAGGGCCGTACCGCCAGCCCTTCCTTCAATTTAAGGATCCAATGCAAGGACCGGCCAAGTTCATTTTGTAAACATCATTTTTTTACCCAGTTTAAAATTATCTATCGGGCTGTACAAAAATGTAACCGTAAAAATAAAGCAATTTATAGATGTATTATTGGTTATAATATGGACTTGACTGGTTCTAGCATTGATCCCATCAATTGTAGGGCGCCTTTATGGCCTCCTTGATTTTCATAGTTTTCTACTGTACCGTGTCAGCGCTCTATTTTGAGGTTATGTTACAAATATCTATTTCCATCAAATTAAAAATCAGCCTAAATTTCCTACAATTCAAAAAGAAAATATAACCGTTAGCAGAGCGCTGACGCTGACACGGGTGAAATCTATAAATACCCCAGTCCTTCTAGAAGAGAGAAAAGACTATGAAAATCAAGGAGGCCATAAAGGCGTCCTACAATAAACGACTGACGATGCGGCCCTAAGGGCGCTCTCCAATTGTGAGGCTATGCTTTCTTTTTGAATTGTAGGAAATTTGAGGCTGATATAACATACGATATAAATCAAAAGCATGAACAATTTGGCGCAAATAGATATTTGTAACATAACCTCAAAATAGAGCACTGAGACGGAACCGTAGAAAACTATGAAAATCAAGGTGCCATAAAAGCGTCGTACAATAATAATTGTAGGAACGACTGACGATATGGCCCTAGAGCAACAACAATAACGAATCATTAAGTCTTTGTTTACGTTATTTTTGACAGCGACACTGAATATGGAATGTTGGTGGGAAAACAGTTTTTTTTGAACATTAAAGTGAATCGTGGTAATTTCACAGTACTGACTACCGACTACCGACTAATTTTTTTTAAAAAGGTTTCCGTAATAGTTGTGTCCAAACTGGACAAGATTTGAATATTTGAAGAATCATAGAGCCACAAAAGGACAAGTGACCTCAAAATCAGCAGAACTACAATACAAGGATCTTATTTTTGCAAATATACCAAAAATGAGGACAATTCAGCCCATTTATAACACTGCCTATTTCTTGCATTTATCTTGAGTTATGATCTAAAACTCATATTTATATTATATCTTAACCAACATTTATTCACAACTTGAAATTATTTTAATAAAGGTCATCCAACAACATCGCTCAATAGGGAAAAGATAATCTTACGAAATAAGTGCTCCCCTGTTTGCTATAACTAACGGAGCTTTCTTATTTTAATAACGGCTAACGGAGGATTCTCCCACTACCGCGCTAAATCAAAAGACGAGATCATAACGAAGCAGGAAAACAACAGCACTAATTAGTTCTCTATTGCAAACATGATATCAATATGCATTCCTGATACATTTAATATGAGTCGCTTTTTTTAAATGGCTCCCTAGACATGGGAGCAAAGCTGAATATCGTTACATCACCCTGACCGGAATCGCGCAGCAACCCTCTGCTGCGTGACTCATTGGACTATACGGTGGAGCAAGTTCGTAAACATTCAAGGCCACGGCTCGCACTGTAATGAAAAATTAGTGCGAACTTTTAGTAAACTCAACATTACACTCTAACAAAACCTGAATCAACATTTGTTTAGTTCACCTCAAAATTAATCCTTGTACCAAGTCAAAAATCGTAAGTGTTTCCTCTCTTCTGTTTCTCTTTGCTCTTCTCCTTTTTCCTTCTCTTTCCCTTTCTTTTTTCCTTGACATTGTCTGGTTTCTGGGCAACCAGGACTGACAGATTAGACAGCGACTAATGGGTAAAGGTCCTACGGACCGCCCAGACAAACAAATGACGAATAGTTATCACAATGACTGCAATTGTGACATAAATGACCGCTGAGTCATTAGATCGGATTATAATCAGTGCTTTGGGTTAGTCAATCTTCTTCTGTTCTCCCAGACTGCAAATGAATATTTGCGCTGTCTGGCTTTTCTTTAAGCAAAACTTCCCATCGGCAGGTTTATTGCTGCGTTGGTTTCACGCCCAGCGATAACTTCTAAGTTCTGCCGCTCCAATAATTCTCTGCCATTCCAGTTCACATCGAACATAAATATGGATCTGCGACTTATTGGTAAATTCCCTACGAGGAGGAACCCATCCCACTTCGCATTTCGCCTTCGGCAGTTGAATGAAACTGCTGACACAGCTGCGATTAAATTGAAACTCAGCTACATAAATACGCAAATTTCGTCAGAACTGTTTTTAAAATCCCCACATAATCCATATTTCAAATGTATCTGGAATATACGCGTATCTGTGTACGTAGGAGATACTTTTGCTTACACTGCAAATATGGAAATATAGATGCAGATGTTGATAAAAGATGTAAGGTCAAGCTAGCGTGGGGGTGCATGGTAACTACCCTCTGGTTCGTGGAAATTATTTTTGTAAAATTGTAAACGACCTGCTTTATTGATGTCAATTTAATTACAACTGTTTTCTCTATACCTAAGTTAGACCATGGAAGCAACTTGGGGCCGAAGCATGGAGGTCAGCCTTATTTGGAAAATCAAATATTGGTAATCTCTTCTACATAGACGAAATTGCATTTTTAATATGCTGAATAGATTTTTCGCCCATGTATTGGAAATATTGTATTTGAAAGACGTACAGTGTTAGAGAACTCATTTAAATATTTCTCGCTGGAAGAATTAGCCACCAGGACTTACTTTTTGACAGTGACATTATTTCGGTTTTTGTAACTTTATGTAGGTTTTTCTATAAGATGTCTACTTTAAACTAGCTGTTGTTTACTTTGTGTATCTGTACGTGTTGCCTAAACGCCATCATGCTTGAGCTATCGTGGCTTGGCTCTGATGTAATGTAACATCTGTTTCAGAGATTGCATTATTGGAGGACTAATCTTTAAGTTGTATACCATACCTGGAAGGCAATGGACGAAACGCCAGTGCAAAGGTGCTTAGTGAGGATTTGTGTTGGTGATAATTCCCTCCGCTTCTTGTCTCAGATACACTTAGATGTATGCGTCATCCTGGAAATTACACATACAAATTTGCTATATTCCAAAAATGAGAGAGATTAGATAAGAAAATCCCTGGACAACTAACAAGTGAGAAAATAGGCCACAGCAAAGAGTATATATAAAACCTGAAAAGGTTATTATATTTGACGTTAATTTTTATTTCTAGTCATTAAAATTTTATAGAAATTTATTTTACGATGTCAAGTAAAAAATACAAATCAGCGTCTAGATGTGAGGCACTGCGAAAAAAACTAACAATTGAGAAAATAGGCTATAGCAAAGAATATTAATGAAACGTGAAAAGGTTATTACATTTAACATTAATTTTTATTTCCATTCATTAAACTTCTATAGAAATTTATTTTACGATGTCAAGTAGAAAATACAAATCAGCGGCTAGATGTGAGGCGCTACGAAAATGTTTTGTGTGTGATGCGTGATTATTGATTTTCCTGCGATGTGACTTCATTACACAAACGCGGGCAACGGTGTTGAAAAATCGTAATTTATAACTTTCAACATAACTTCTCTTCAGAATGGACAACACATATCCAAATGCGATTTTGCTACTCAACCAACTGTCTTTCTTCCACATCTTCTCTGAGGTAACCACTACAGACTACCCGAATTTCTGCAACCAACAATGCATGCCGTGTCGTTGGGTCATCCCTCCAGAGATGGATACCTAGTCTGCAACATGACATTCTGTCGTTTTTTACGTTTTTTAGGTTTTTTACCTATACCACTGCCGACTCGATAGTTACAGCTGCATTTCACAACACCACAACCTCAACGCATTTTAATAGTCCAAACTTTAAATCAGTAACATTTTACAATACTGCCAATAATCTAGTGTGCAAATATAATTCAGCATATATCCATATAGTAACAGTATATATAGTAATAGTATTTCTTACCAAAAAATGCTAAAATAATTACATGATCAAACGAACTTACCTCTAAGTAATGTTCGATCTTAATTATGTGAAGTCCTCGTTGAAGTAAATATTTAAAATACATATTGTAGTACCCTCGTAGTAGTACCCAACCGCCACGATTTCAAAGCGCGCGCGCGCAGAGAAAGAAACCGGCACCGCGCCCCTTCCCTCTACCTTTCTCCACTCTGGCCGCCCATAAACCATCATTTACTTCAAACCCAAGTTGTTGTAACAATTGGGTGATACATAGGGAGGGAAAGAGCTATTTACTTCGACGAGGACTTCACATAATTAAGATCGAACATCACTTACAGGTAAGTTCGTTTGATCATGTAATTATGTTCCGTCCTCGTCGAAGTAAATATTTAGAATACATAGCTAGTTGCAACAACATACTACTAACGCTCTGCAATAGTAAACCATAGGTCGTACACAACAACACAAATTGTACGCAATGTATGTGTCAACTAAATGTACATTTCCATTGTAACAATTCAAGTTAAGGCTTTTAGCAACAGGTAATATACCTGGTTCAAAAATTATCATCCATTTCATGGTAATGAGCAAATAACGTAATAACATAGTTATGTTTAAGGTGTGGAGCCTTGGTTCGCCTCAAATGCCGCTTGAGCAACGCTATTGTTTGGTATAAGAGATTTGTGACGTATCTCAGAAAACGCACTCCAGCACGCCGCGCGAGCCTGAGACTAATGTAATTTAGCCGGCGGAGAAGTAGACGCATTTCATGTGCTGTGGGTTGTCAATTGTGACATTGTGACACTCCCTGCTAAAACCGACTCCATCCATCTGGGAGTCGAGGCACCATGATAAAGTTACTGTACAGTGACAAATAAATGCTTTGCACAGATACACCCAATCCGGATGTTGTCTGTTTCAATTAGCTTGCACACTCTAATCTGAGGATAGAGCTAGCAGTGTTGCTGATTTCCTCATCCAAATATCTACAGACCTTACCAGCAACCCCTTTGGTTGATTGAGAACAACCACAGGATCTATATTTCAGTTGAGATGGCCTCAGCCTGTAAATGCCCTTCAAAAAACATCTTATTTCTGCATCGTTAGTAACATTTTGGGTAAAAGACTGATAGCTCAAACAATTATACCTTGATCTCTTATCACCTGTAAGGTAAGAAAATTCAAGATAGGAAACTAGACATGTATTTCTTCCCGACAAAGGTCCTAAGCCCACAATACAGGATGGATTATCGATGTTGATTGGAATGACAGCTTTCCAGTGATGATCACTAGAGTAAGTTTACGAATTAGTGGGAGCGGCGTCGGGTCCCTTCATCAGATCCTTGCGTTACTTCTAGAAGTGAAGGTTTATAGGCGGCCAGAGGGTGAAAGAAGGGGCGCGTGCCGGTTTCCTTCTCTCCGCGCGCGCTTTGAAATCGTGGCGGTTGGGTACTACTACGAGGGTACTATGATATGTATTCTAAATATTTACTTCGACGAGGACGGAACATAATTCTTAGCAACTAAAATTCATTGATTATGTGATACCCTGCATGTACCTCGAGCTGTCAACTCTCGACATTACTTATTGTTAGCTTCAGAGGGAAGGTTATTTAAGGGAAGATCGTGAATTTTGTAAGACAAGATTGCTTACTCCCTCTTTCTTTTGGTTTGACATAACCTGATTTCTGGATAATCAGGACTCTTTGATAGTCGAAGAAGCTTTGTATTATTTGAGATTCGTCTTAGAAGGGGTTAAGTAATCTTCAAAAAGCCAATTTTCATGGACCGCTCAGAAGATGTGTTACTTCCACTATGAAATCAAATTCGTACAACTACGATGGGCCCTATTTTGCAGTTGGAAAAATTGAGAGCGCGGAGGAAGGGGAAAGAAGATACTCTGATGTTTCGATTTATGGACATTTGGAGGTCATAAGGCTGTTGCCCCTGTGTTCATAGGATGAAGACGGAATAGCGCATCATGCTGCTGAAATTTCAATTTAAATATTTCACAGTGGTAGACAGATTTTCTGTAAGAGTGCTATGCCATTTTTTATCGTTTCTCGGTCTTCGGTAACGCATTTTCTAAAATAATCACCTTCTGCGAGTCCCCTAACTCTCGTGCTGTAAGCCCCTTAATGTACAAAACAAGTTTCTCTGGAATACCCGCGTTGACATTCTGAGATGAAGAGGAGTACCCGTGAATTACGATGGATAGGTATCTTTTGACCAGAGGGGAAGTTAGCCACCCATCTGCAATCCAGTTTTTTTCTACGTCAAAAAACTTGCACAATTCATAAATACGGTATGGATAATTTCGGAACATTTACCTGTCTTAATCTATTTGATAAGAATTGCAGAGAAACGTGAATGAAAAATCAAACTGATTGATTTTTATACAAGGTTCCGAACGGGAATTACGTATCTTGAAAAGTGACATTATGTCGATTTCTTCTGACATTGTATTGGTCTTTTGTGACATCATGTAGGTTTTTCTAAAAGACGTTAACTTAGCACTAGCTGATGGACACGTTGTGAACTCGTTTTGTAGTTGTACGTATTGCCTCAATGTCATGAGGCTTCAGTTGTCAATGTTTGGCTCTGTAAGTTGTATACTATATCTACTCGTAGAAGGAAACGGTAATGCATAGGTGCATAGTGAGGATTTCTGTGCAAATAATATGCGTTGATAATTTCATTGGATTCTTGTCTCAGATACACTTACTTGAGAGTCAAAGCTAGAAATTAGTTGCGCATCACCTTTTTCTTATCCATTCTGTAAATTACATATGCAAATTTACTGAATTTCAAAAATGAGAGAGATAAGAAATAATTATATTCACTGCACACTGTCGAATTACAAGACATATATGTACATGCTAATAGTAATTGAACTCAACGCGGGCGCGGTGGTGATTTCCCGTAATTCTCCTCAATGTTTTTGAAAACATAAAAAATCGTAATTTATAACTTATAAGATATACATAACTCGTTGGGCACAACTAATCGATATACTTCATTGGCAGCATAGCCAGAAATGCTTTGCTCACACAGCAAATATCACTGATTGTGTACACATGCTGACCAATACACATAATCATACAGATGAGATCTTGCTATTCAACGAACTTTCTTAAAGATAAAAACCTCAGACTACTCGGCTTCACAAAACATATGCAACCAACAATGCGTGTAGTTGAGGCATTTCTCCATAGATGGATGCTCACAACGATCCTAGTGAGCAAATGTGGAATGACTGTTCGCACCATAAAAAGTACCTAGTAGGCAAGACGACATTTTATAGATTTTTTACATAATATCCGTGCCGGCAGTTGCAAGAAAATGATAGGAAGAGATAGCTGTTTTGTTAATGCGTATGCAGACTGTAATTGGGGTATTACAATTTCACATTCTTTTATATATTCTAGTAACATATACATAACACTTTCTGCAAACTTCGTGAAACATATACAAAGACCTTTTAAATAAAAAAAATGTTTTTCGGCAAATAAGCATTTTATTTCTCAACATAATCTCGTTTTAGTTCGATACATTTAGTTCAGCGTTTTTCCAAATTCTTAATTCCTTCCGAA